ACACACTGTGATAATGATTTTATGAGAAGGTTTGTACATGGCAAACGTCATAACTGTTTGTAGGAAATTGGGCGCGGATCCAAATACTTTGTGCATATTGGTGCTTAATGTGTTATTCGCCACTTCTCATTTGCCTTTTTCTAAATATATATTTTTCTTTTGACCAACAAATCCTTGTGCTTTGTCTGAAAATATCACAGATTTCCACTGTACTTATAACGTCTAATTTTTTTGTTCTTGACACGTTCGATATTGTCCCCATTTTACACATGGTGTCTAATTAGCCTTTAATAAACAGTTCTAATAGATGTAATTAGAATATAAAATCCGCTGACAACTCGTATTATATGTTATAACTTTCCACATGCCCCTGTTCTAAAAATAGTAACACACCACTTTTAATACAAACGGGGAGTAACTCTACAACTTTGAGCGTGATCAATGCCAACAAATTTCAAATTGACTTTTCATCCAAAAAATATTTGATCAAATTAAAAAAAAACAAGGGGGGGGGGGCACTTTGAGAGGGACAAGCGGGACCCTAGGGAGTTGTGGTATAACTTTCATTGCAAAAGCTCAAAAGCTTTTTGAGATATAGCCCGGAAACGAAAGTGTCACACACAAATAGAATATATGAATTTACGACCTTTACCTTTGACTTTTTGATTTCAAAATCAATAGGGGTCTTCCTTACTCCAAAGGAAGTTGTGGTTTCATTGCAAAAGCTCAAAGGCTTCTCGAGAGATCGCGCGGAAAGAAATGTGTTACAGACAGACAGAAATACAAACAGACGGATAGACAAATCCAAATTATTATCCCCAACTTCATTGAAATCGGGGAACAAAAAACGTTATGCATTTGTTTAGTTCAAAGTCTCAAGATCAGAAAGCTTTGTATTTGTAAATAGAAATAGAAATTCATATTTCAAAAACATCAAAGTCTTGTTAAAAAAGGAAATTGAATTTTGCTTATATGAATTTTTCTTTGGAAACAATTAATTCAATGTCTTCGGTTAATAACCCAGATATTTAAAAAACAAACAAACAAACAAACAAACAAACAAAAACTTTTTCCAATTCTTCTAGGGCCTTATTCTCTATCATTAAATATCCACCATTGATATTCATTTAAAGCATTTTAGAAAAGAAAAGAATATACCAAGAGAATTTTTCAAAAATATAATTATCTAAGCAGTAATTAATTAAAGGAGTGCATAGAGGTTTATTAGGACAAGTATTTCTTTTAAAATAAAAAAAAATAAATAATAACTAAGAATATCAATAAATGCTGTGGAGGAAAAATGTACTAAATTATTACAAATAGAATAACTTTTTTTATCAGAGAGATTTTTTAAGATTGATTTTTATTGACTGAAAATAGAGGGAGATAACTCTTCAAGGAAAGGTCAAAGTCCTAAATTTGGACTTATTCCTTTCATACATACCGAAGGTAAAAGGTAAATATGTCTAAATATACTGAGTATGTACCCATACATGTCTGTCATGTATTCACTCTTATTCAGTCCGAGGCTGTTATGGATGGAATACCTTAAAAAGGACTTGTGTAAGCAATATACATGTTGAATATTAGATTCCAACATCTGACAATTTGAAAGAGATGTGGAAAAACCAGAAAGACAGACAATAGAGAATGGAAACCTTGGCACCCCTCATCTAAATGGGCGACATGATATTGAACACAAATTTTTAAGAAGTCCTTTGTTTATTAACCAAAATGTGATTCAGTGATTCAAGTAAAAAGAAAACAAAGACTAGATTCGTAAAATGCCCCAAAAGAGAGAGAGGTGCAGCAATACCCTTCGAAATATTTTAGCAGTTCCATATAGATTGTTTGTAATGTATAAAATTGTCCACTAGCTTTATACCTACCTCTGAAAAAAGAACAACAACTAAACTATAGACTCCTATAGTTCACTGTTGTTAAATTAGTAAATCAAAATCCTTTAGTACATGTATTTGCAAAAGTTTAACGAATAATCAAATTATTTTTTTAATAGTAAAATGTTCATAATGGTAAATCAAAGTATCAAAGCTCAAATCTTATAAATCAGAGTATTAAAAGTTTGTTTGGTTGTTTTTTTTTTGCGCAATATTAAATGAAAGTTCCATTTATAATATTCATTATTTTAAAGTTAAGTATCAATGTGGGTTTATTGGCACTATAGTAGACTATAGTCTACTATCGTAAATCAAATTTCGATAGTAATGTCAAAGTTAATTTCAGTATCAAAGATTTTACTTTAGTAAATAAAACTCCCATAGTATTCACTATAGTAAATTAAAGTACACATATGTACATTCTTTAAGATTTTTGCTATAGTAAATCAGAGTATCAAGGTCTTATAAGAAATAAAATTGTGGCACTATAGTGAACTATAGTAAATCAATTTAAAATTTATTGTCTTTAATGACGTATATAGTGTACTTTTATTATTATACTATAAATTACAATATTACATAAGAAGATTATTTTCGTAATTTTATTGGCTGAAAGGACGTCACATGAAATTCTTATTTTTGTGATATGGACGCGAAAGCCTGCACGGAATACGAAATCGCACTACTCGCCGTTCGGCTTAACCAAAGTTACATAGAACGTGACTTCTTAATATAAAAAACATGTTTTAATCATTGACGTAATGACGGCCAAGTCTGTTCATTTAGGACTGTGTCAGATTATTCACTTTGAGTGATTTTACTCAGACACAGAAAATGATAGCAACCGAGCTAGCTTGTTCGTTATCACATTCTGTGTCTTCGGTCAATATCACTGGACATGGGTCCTTACAACCACATATCGACCTTCACTGAGGTCCATAATTATATAGTAGTATTTTTGCTACCGTTACACCCACATGAGTACCTTTACTTCAAAGTACATAGGCAAAGAGATTTTAATTGTTTGCAATAATAATGAGAAGTTTTATTAACGATGAACACAGTATAGTTCAGATGAGCAATGGAAATGTGATGAAAAGCATATTCTTAATCAGGATGGCTATTCTTTTTAGTCATTTTACTTATATTGGACAAATATAATAATGATTATATCTACATATTGAAGTCAAGCAAATACAACATTTCCCTATGTTGTATTTTGACTGACATATTTCATATTAATTGTTAGGCCTTGTTTTTATACTAATTTGACTACGGATAATTCTTTCAACCTAATCATCACATCATCACACAGTGTGACCGGTCGGCAGGAGATGCTCACTCCTCTTAGGCACCTGATCCTAACTCTGGAATTTCCAGCGGTCTGTGTTTTATGTCCTGTCCAAATACTTTTTTTTGAGATCGAACACCTTTGGTTATTTTTGCCTATTTTAATTCAATCAGGTTGAGTAAGCCAGTTGGCCTAAAATATATTTGGAAAGCACACTTAAACATTATTGTTTTATTTCTTTTATTTAAAGATTAGTTTTGTGTGAATTTTTATGTATGTTTTATGTTTATGTGTTTGTTCTGTTTTTAAAAGTGACCCTTATTGTTTTCTTATACTCTATAACGATGATAAAATAGATACAATTGCTGTTACGCAACAAGTTGAAAATGTATGTTGTCACGTGTTACAGTGCTATTTCATAGATACTGTGTTACAAGAAGACGTACGAAGGGTGAAAAAAGAAATGTATATCTCGAAATTTTTTTTGAATGAAATTATATTTTTTGTTTCAGAAGATTTGTTTTATATATATACATATATATATATATATATATATATATATATATATATATATATATATATATATATATATATATATATATATATATATATATATATATAAACGCTTTTATTTCTTCTTCTCTGTTTCTTTATATATTTAAGTATTCTTCATATTTATCACCGATCACTGATTTTTCTTCGATATATATGAATGGGAAAACAAAATATTTATTTCGAATTATCTTGAAAGAACTAATTTGTCTCACACAGTCTTGTATTTTTTTCTGAGACTGAAATATACAATCCTTTCTTTAGTTACAAACTTGTAGTACGCAGACGTTAAGCAGTTGATTAGTCATTGTGCATAAACTCACGTCTTGTATTTTATTTTTGCTCCTACATTTTGGTTAAATAAAAAAAAGTACATAAATTCATGGTCAGATTATTAATTAACACACGTCATTTTATTGACATAATTTACATATCTTCTTTATCTTATGGACAGTAATTTAACCATCATGAAGAAAAAAAAGATGGTCCACATTAACTCAGACAAAAAATGGCAGTGTCAACCTTTAATGTTATGGGGGAATTATAAATATTTATCCAGAAAAACCACACATGAAAACACTAGACAACTGATAAATTCCAAATGGTAGCCAACCACAATAATAATGAAATCCTTGTTGTTTTTAGTACAATTCTAAATATATTAATAATTAAAAATTATCAATTATCAGAGAGATCGATGTAAAGGATAATGAATTCATCTTCGTGTTGATAGAGTCACGAATAGCCCTGTTATTGCATTAAACGATTGAAGGTCTAACGTCACGCAATTAACAGGAGTGGTATCTGTTCATATATCAATTACAAATTAAACAACAGGCGTTCGGCATGAAATAAACGTATGACTTTGAATACAATATGGAAAAATGATTTTCAATTGTGAAAGAAAATGTCTTTTAAGTATGAATTTTCATTCTTAAGGGGAGGGAAAAAAATCCGAAAAAAAACTTCAATAACTGTCGCGCAATCTTGAACAATCAGTGCTTTTTAAATGCCTTTTTAAAGCCTTATATTCGTACAATTCTAGTATTGTTAATAATATTCAGATATATAAAGCATAAAAGATGGGCAAATGCATTACACAAAAGTAGAATAAAAATCATTAACTTGCAGTTCCTCCATTAAATTAATGCATTCACATTTGAACTATTTCAAAAATAGACATAAGCCATTAACAAATTATACAAATGATTAATTTGATAACCGTTTCATCACTTACCAAAAACAAAAAGCAAACATACCTACTATGTCCAAAGCTACTCCAAAGGTGTTGGGGCGTCCAAATAGGCTAATGAATTGCTCCCATGAATCATTTACATATTCGCCATTAACATTTTTTCTTGCGGTTCCAATTTAAGTGTGGAAATCGAGATTGAATAAATGTGATTATAATAATATACACATGAAAGCACTATGTGCATAAATTGGACGTGAGGTGCAGCTCATTAAGAAGATAATTCATTGCACATGCCAACAAGTAAGTAAAATTTTTGTTGCTTTTAAATTAGTATATTTCTTAGCTTTGTTTTCATCTATAACATATATATAATGGAACAATAAGATTCTTTATTCTTAATTCTGTTCAAATACAAAACTTATGATTGGTTGTCAAATTTTTTATTTGTCATGCGTGAAATGTTTTATTATTATTTTACGCAACTTTTAAGACACGCGAGTCATTCACAGAAATAATTGATAATGCATTTCACTGTACGGAATACTTTATGAATTTGCTGCTTTTTATAGCTGTTTTATCGTTGTTGTGATAATCAGCACCACTTAATATTTTAAAAAGCTGCATTTAAGGCATGCGCAGACAGTACAAGAGTTGTAAGGGGTTGCGGATTGAAAGAGTGAGTAGGGGGTTATGTAAGATATGAGGGACGAGGAGTTTAAAACGAATATTCTGTCCACTATTAATTAGCACTCCGAGAGGGCATATACATAAATGAACGGAACTCAGCCACATACAATTGTCAAAGTGCATTTCTGAATGTTCGATGTACGCAAGCATGCCATTCAATTAAGCGATTTAACAAAAGGAATTAAGAAAAACATGAAATATATAATTGCTTAAGATAAACATTTCCAGAGAGGAAAATAAAGGGAAATGGATGGAGTAGAATTAGAGAAATCGGAAAGGAATATATGTTCATTGCATGTTGAAAGAAAGGTGTGGTTGTTTTGGTTGACTCGTTGGAAAGAACCAGAACTGCAAAAATCATTTAACCCGCCTGAGAAAAACTTGAAAGAAATTAAAGGGGGAAAAAACTGACATTGTGTTTAATGTATTATCTAGTGTCAATCCTTTGCTCCTTTTATAATTTTGAAAAAAAGGAAACTAAAAAATAAAATAGAATTTAATTTTGAACCTACTTCGATTTAAAAATTCTAAACATTTTGCATTGAATAATATAAGGTTTTACTTTCCTCTTCAAAGTTATTCATCAATTGAAATATGAATTAAATTTATCTTATTACATTCAAATTTAAAGTACACAACTTTATTCAAAGCGCACATTTCAATTAAGATGAAAAAAATGAAAATTTTGATAGAAAAAAAAAATAATTAAAGCTTCAGTAAATACTGATTTCTAACTGATGGTCTAAAATTTCCCTTAATTTTCTTATTACACATAATTAAGAAATGGTTATTTCTTACCTTATTTAATCTGGCAGCATGTGCAGTGAAAGATATAATTTACAGAAAAACCAGATTTGTGAGACTCTGAAAAATGACAAAAAGTTATATAACAATTATAAACTTCCTGCCTTTTCACACTTCATACAATATATCTTAATCCCATCTGTTAAAGAAGACAATATTTTTTCGTGTTCTGGCATTGTATTTATGTAAAATTTCAGGGTTATTTCTGTAAAAAAATATTTTTAACGAAGAACTCGGAAATATTTGTATTTATTGCTTTAGGTGCATTGTTTGAAACTCTTTTAGTACTTTTTTTAAAAACAGACATCATATCATTGACATTAGAGCATTTCTGAGCACTCTGCAATATTTTTGCATTTTTATTGTTTGTTTTTGGTATTTTTTGTTTTGTAGTTTTTATTTATTTTTTCTTTTGTTCGATTTATTTTTTAATTGTTATTTTCATAGACATGTACTCTTCACCAGCAATGGATTTGGAGAAAGTTTATTGTATGTTTAGAATCTAAATTTTTTCATTAGGAATATATATAAATGATTGATTGTATGTTGTTTTACGTCCCATTCGAAAATTTTTCACTCATATAGAGACGTCACCATATACCGGTGAAGGACTTCAAATTTTGACCTTTACTTGGCACTCAGGGCCATTGAGCAGTGAGGGATCTTTATCATGCCAACGCCTGCCCTGACACGGGGCCTCGGTTTTTAAGGTCTCATCCGAAGGACTCGCAACTTTCACTTCAAAGCGCATGGCGAAGGAACAGTTGCTAAACTTTTTTTTTATCGACTTAGGTCAGTCGCGGCCGAGATTCGAAATCACGACCTCCCGATCACGGAGCGAGCGCTCTACCGCCTGAGCTACCGTGAACGGTGGAATATACATGTATGTAAAGTGTACCTAAGAACGTGCAAAAATGAAAGTCTCCTCTCTCTCTCCCTCTCTCTCTAAAACATATTGTTCTGTATATCAAATACAAAATAATTCCATGAAATTCCATAAGTAGTTTTTTTAAATGTGCATGAATGTGCGTTCTGGAAAATAGTTTAATGACCAGCAGTCTTTATCAGAATGTTCAGGGTAAAAAACATTTTTGAGACAAAGATGCAGCTTCTTGCCAAAACATCTTTCTCTTACCATACATTCTTGAGAGGAAAAATTCGTTTGGAAAACGACTAGATCTATTTCAAAGAACAAAATTGTAACGTGTGTTTCTGCGGGCATAGCATAGCATCGTTGCTGAAAGTTGGGGGCAAGCCGGAAAAAATAATTGATAACTTGCCTAGATAAAACATCTTTTACAGGCAAAAAAAGAAAATACATTTTTACATTCTCAACAGTGAAATAATTTGATTTATTTATTGAATAAAAGTGATATTCTCTCACAGTGTGAAAGGATACCAAAGTGATATTCTCTCATAGTGTGAAAGGATATCAAAGTGAAAAATAATTTCTGACCTGTAATAAGATAGAAATAGTGACTAAACCATCTTGACAGAGACTTAAACTGCCAATTTCTTCCCAAATTTGTTGCTAAAATCCATGTTACAATGTTTTCAATCTCACAACTGCTAAACTATGAAGTCTCAACTACTCAACTATGACGTCACAGCCTATGACACTGTCTTAAGAAAAGATAGAGGCAAAGGGAAAATTAAAGAAAATATAAAAAACAGAAAATTCAATGTTTTGTAGTTTGATATGAAATTTATTTCACTCGTGAGACAGGATTTTTTGATATTTTTACTCGTGCTTCGCACTCATGAAAATATTAAAAATATCCTCTCCCATCATGAAATATATTCCATATCCAACTACAAAACATTGAATATCCTCTATGTATAACATTATTATGGGAAAATGTAGGGGTCACCCCCCTCTCTCTCGATGCTCTGTGGTTGTTTTGTATAATATTGTAAATACAAACACATTATGAAAAATTATTTCAGCGCTATGTATATTGAAATAGTCTTATTGCTTTTACCGTAAAAATTCTCTTTCATCCCTCTATTAGATATCTCAAAGCGTTTGAATTACCTTTTAAAGAAAGATTTTAGGAAGCCATGGCTTGTGGTTTCTATTTATCTTTAATTTGAAAAATTATAATTTTGCCTTAAAATGCTGAACTAGTTCTTCATGCAATGCCGTTAACATTCAAATATCCAATTATTATTCATAAAGATTATTCATGCAATTTGTTTTTAAAAATAAACAATGACTGCCTGATATTTATAATAGTATTATAAATATATATGATGAATTCCTTATAGCGACAATTCTAGACAAATTGGGAAAATGCACTCGTTCGGCTTCTGTTCGACATGATGTACCTAATGCTATCCTATATTGTCTAATTTTAAATATTTTATATTCAACTTAAAATTCAGGTTTCCTACTGATGTCGGTAAATTGTAAGATTTTAAATCTGATGGTCTGAAAAGAATACAAAGAAATTAAAGGATAATCAATACGAGGCGTACATAAAAATCTAATATACGCAAGTTATGCAATTTTATCAAACTATTAATCTAAATTACTGATCAGATTGATGAAATGTAAGATAACAAAAACTGATCAAGCTCAAAAGTCTATTTCACCAATACAGATTCTCAACAGAAACAGCGTGGACCACTGAAAACAGGTGGGATCAGGTTCCATGAAGGAGTATCATCCCTTGTCGACCGGTCGGTCAGACCCGCCATGTGCCTCTAGTCATAATCGGGTAAAGGTAAAATCCGTAGACGATTCAGTGTAAAAATAATGGCCAAACAATTCGTATGAAAAACGCATGTCATCTTTCTACCTAGTGACAGACTGTAAACAAGGACATTGTATAGTCCATAAAATTTGCGAAATATTAACTTTAAACGAGTTTGTTGATATCCTTGTATGATCAACTTATTTGTCAATAGCCTCCCTCACTTAGAAATTGTTCGTAAGTAGATCATACTCTTGCCTATCGAATCATCTCGGAGACATACACTCTAGATAAAGGTGGTTATGGTGGTTTAGGTATATTGATATACATACGAGGGTTGTTCGAAAAGTTCGTGGACAATGTCAATCCTCGTTATACTACTTTCAAGAATTTTAATAAAAGCACATTATCATATGTAAAAATATTTATTTCATTGATGTGTGAAGTTTCATTCCATTCGATTTAATAGAAATTAATTTACTTTATTTTAAAATCCACATGTTTGATAACCCCGGAGCAAACTAAACAACATTATACCGTCAAAAATGTAGTGTCATGAGGTTTTCAAAATATTCTCCCTCTACATTTCGCACAGTCTGGTCCAATATCTGCTCATTTAAAACGTGTCTCTTTCAATTGAAATTCATTTTGTTAATAATTGTTCCAGTAGCATAATTTTGATTGTCAATGTTTTCTTTTTTTTTTTTTTAAAAGCTTAACTATGCTTTCACAAGACCAGCAACCGTGAAACGCCTTTCTCTTTCCAAGACCTTACGAACTGAACGTTCTGGGGTTGATTCTTTACAGATAATCCGTTTTCTCACAGATTGCCCTCGTCCGATACAGATGCATTCATTCAAATACCGCCTGGTCCATTTACACACACATATCCATGACCCGCTTCTGAGATATTTCATGCTTCCTACAACATTTTCAGATTTTATCCTGACGTTTTCCAGAGTACAACAGAAAATTGTATCTTAAACTCCTGCTCCGTAACGTTATACGACGTCACCTTTTTGCCTTTTTCAATGGGGACTACCTATCTTCAGAAATTGATTTCTTTTCCATGAAGCAAACCATTAAGTCATAAT